TACTCACTAGTATTTAATTTCTTTGGTGTCTGTTGTAGTCTTCCTATCTTTATCTTTGAGCCCAAAAATTCTATCTTAGTCTACTTATAAGGCTTTCCATCGAGTTTTGTTGAATTTTTCAAATCTATCTTTATTTCAGTTTGAGTTCTCTTTTAATATTTCTCTTTACTAAGTTCACGTCTCAAATTTCTAATCATCATTTTATTCAACCTTTTTCTGCATATTTGTATTTTTTGGACATCATTCAGGCATTTGTTAAAGAAGTTTAATAAGGTGTGGGTTTGGGTGTCTTTTTAATACTCATTGACTTCTTTCATAAAATTTATGATTGATCTTCTAAGTTCTATGTCCTGAGGCTTATTTAGGCAAGCTTTATTAGAGAACATTTCTATAGGATTAGTGGGTTTGATGGGAGACATTCTGTTTTTGCATTGTTTGTGTTGACAATGTGATGTGGGCACATAGATCCTTTTTTCGGTTGTGTATCCATTATGAAATTCTGGCCTGCTTTAGACTAGCTCCAATGCAAGTGCTGCATGTTTAGAACTATGCCAGGTAAAGCCAATATGAAGTTTTTGGTCTATAGCTCAATAATACAATTACAAAACTCAATGGAAACCCTCATAAGTAGACTAAGAATTTTGGGGAAAATCCTAAATTCTGTGTATGTATAATTACCATGCTCCATTTTGTATATCCAGTATTCATAGAACTATTTATAGCATAAGCAAAATCATTTGATTGCATATTATTCTGAATCTCAATGCTTGAAACTGGGTATTTTGGGTTGACAGAATTTGATTTAGGAAAAAATACAGCTTAGTGTTAAAAAGTTAGGTGATGACAATGACTAAGAATTCATTAGCAACAGTGATGGAGACGTTGCCATGGGAATTCAACACCCACCAAGAATCTGTGGAACTTCTAACACAGTGAGTGCATGTCTTACTAAAGAGCATGGGATGCTATGCCCTTGTGGTTGGATATAAGAAGACTGGAGTACTTGGGATGCACAAATAACTACATCAAGAATGATACCACAGAGTCACTTTTATATAATACAATCATGTTCACATTGTAGCATATATATTGATGATCTATGACACAATTTGAATAATTTTGAATATGTATGTAAATATATAAAACCAAGAGGCACTTCCAGTAATTCTGGCAAAAGAGAGTATCAATATAGTCTCTAAGCTAAAAAAACATTAAAAATAAATATAATTTATCTAAGTTTCTTTCTGTACAGATCCTACTTTTTTTACAAAACTTTTATCAGCTATTAACTATGTCACTTAACACATACTTGTGGTGGAATGAGACTAAATATTGCTACATACATTAAGTGCAAGATACAAGTGGCAAGATCAAATTGATTTCAAATGCAAAACAATCACTTAAGCTCCAAGTGTTTGTGTTTCTAAAAATGGATAAACTTGGCAAAGATACTAATTAATGAACATATTCAGGCTGAGTGTGCTAAGGAAAGAATTGTAAAAAACTGTAATTTATGGATGATAACCCCACCACAATCACATCAGTCATTTGAAAATAATGGACAATTTTAGGAACACCAAATTAAACCACTCCTGTCCTCCTTTAGGTTGGAAATATTATTACTCAGGTCGAATACTTAGAATCTGCTATAGAGAACCACACAATGCTTTTTTCTTTTCACAGCGCAACAACAGATCAAATCAACCTCTCAATCAAGAATCAGAATGCATTTTCTACAAGAAGAAATGTTTACCCATTGGATTCAGATTAAAGTTTCTAACATCATTACAGAAAGGTAAGAGACTCTTCCATGATTTTGCATCGAGAGCACATAATATGTGTAAAAGCACCAATTTGCATTATGTGATTAGCTGGATAAAAATCTCCATAAAGGAGTCCAAGGGACTGTGTGTATTCAGAGATATTTCCAGTGCTTGTTGGCTAACAGATCAGCCTCTCTGGTGCAAAAACTATGTCCTACTGTGAGAATACATGCAGTCAACTGACACTCACAAATGCAAAACCAAGCAAATAAAATATGTTAAAAAACCCATGCAAATATTTTATAGAGTATTCAAAATTAGTGATTAGTGAATAAATATATATTAAAAGTTATTGAACACCCCCTCCATTAACATGTAATATATAGATATGTTAGGGTTATTTTTTAAAATGGCAGCAACAGTATAATTCCAGAATATGTTTATAAATGGCTAGAGTGAAATATCTGATATAATGGAGGTTTGTTCTGAACTACAAAAATAACCAATTGAAAGTTTTAAAAGGTGGTAGGACCCTTATTCACCAGCAAGTTATATATACAAATAGGACAATTTAAAATAGTTGTTGTTGATTTCACATAACATCTGAATATTTTCCTATATCAAAGGAATGTCATTACTGGGGACAAAGCTCCTTCTCTACAGCAGTAGATGCTCTTGATCATCAATGATTCACACTCGGCAATGGGTATAAGTGCTTGTCATGGTAAGCAGAGTCAGGGAGGAATCATCGACCCTCAAGGTCATTTCACTCCAGAGCAAATAATTAAGTTGATTTGGGAGAAGGTTGGACAAGGGTCTGGCAGTGTATTGAGGGTTTTATGTGGTCCTGTTATCTGCTTCTTTGTACCATGGGTTTCATTGTAGAAATGGGATGGAGGGTGACTTGGACCCAGGCACCAAAAACATTCCTTTCTCTGTTCCAAGAGAAAAGCATTTCTGATTGCACTCTCTTTGCTAATACTGATTCAAAGAAGTAAAAATTTCTGAGAAAATCCTTGTTTTCTCCTTTGAGCCAGACTTTTTTTTTTTTCTTCCTGTTGTTAAGAAGGGAGAAATTCCTGCAATAGTTTGTCTCAATTTAATGAAGCAAACCCGATAAAACTGTAAAATTTAAAGTTTACAAAACATGTTCCTGTTACTTTCCTATAAAGGAACTCATACATTACTCTACCATTTGGTTTAAAATGATGGATGAATACAGTAGGGTGGTTAACACAAGGTCAGCTTTTCATCTGTGAAAACTAAAATGAATAATATTTAATTTCCTTAGTGTTGAAGAATTTGATTTTTGACTTTATTAGAATTGGGTTAATAAGATCTATGGTAATCATTTTTAATGTATAGTGATAAATTACTATCATTTTTAATGTATAGTGATAAATTACTGGATGATATTTTCTTTTGATTAACTTAGAGGAACTTCAACTGTAACTTGGGCACTTTTTGTATAAATATGTTTCATGTAGAGAGGTGTTTGACCTGAATGTGTGTGCACTATGTATAGGCAGTGCCCACAGAGGCCAGAAGAGAGTGTCAGATCCCCTGTAAATGCATTTATGCACTTATTGATCCCTCTATAAAGCATTTTTCTCTTGAGAGCATTAGGAAAACATTCAATCCTGCAAGTTTTCTCTTTCATGATATTAGTCTTGGCTATGTCAAACTGTGAGCATTTTGGTACCAAGAAGCAGTGGTTCATGGATTTAATTTTAATCTTAAAAAAAAAAAAAAACAACTTACAAAAGTGGTGGTTCAAGAAAACAAATCAATAAGTACTTCTGTCAGTATTGACACACAGAGATTTAACATTACTTTTTGCTAGTTTTCATAATTAAAGAGCCACCTCTTAATGCAGAGCAAGGACTCTAGGCTGAACATGGCCACACAGAACATTTACCTGTAAGAGAAGGCTTACCCCATCAGGCACACACCTAAGATGCCAACACATGATGCTAAGAAATGCGGAGACTTCAACCCAGCTCAAAAGTACACTATCTGTATACTGATGGTCTTTTCTACATTAAAAAAAACTCAAGGATCAATATTAAGGAAGCAGATTGGGTTCCGCCAACTTCATTTTTGCATCTGCAGACATATTTAAATTATTCCCACATAGGTCAGATATATTAGTCATGACAACTAACCAGTTGTTAGGGTAATCTACTGGTGTGAGTATAAAGACCAATTCTTAGGTGAGGCAAAACAAAACACTACCCAGTATTAAGTAATGCAAAATTAACATCATTTCAACACATGCAATGTGTAAGGTAGTGACATGGACTATTAGTATCCATTCCACATAATTGCATAACGCGTACTAGTCTGTCCTTATTCTCTAACCATGGTACCCTCATGTGACACATACAAATACTCATAAAAAGCTCAGTTCAAACTACCCAGACCATAGTGTATGGTTTAGTTCAGCCAGGGACTGATAATAGAAGTGATTAATTCACTCCTAATTTAATTTTCAATACGTATCTGAGAATTTGCTGGAGGACCAATTGACGTGATATGGATACAGGACCGCAAACTGATGGATTTGACCTTGGTTAGACATTCCAAGAGTAGTTTAATTCTGAGATCTCTTCTGTTTGAAATGGTGAGTTGTTTTCTCTGTCCTCATTTTGAATTTGCTTGGGTAAAACTTTAAAATGCAGCAGGATCGACAAATTCATAGTTTTCCTTTACAAATCCACGAAAGAAGTGAATGACCTAGAACAAGGATCCTGTAGTATTTCATTGCTCAGGCGGCATAAGGATGCCAGAAAAGGAATTCAGTTTCAAAGCACATGGTTATTGTGGCATTTAGTTATCTAAATTACTGATGTGCAATTTTTTGTTGTTTTATCCCCCCACCCCCCCTACACATATTAGGACCTCAAGAGTCAAGAAGAGTCTTCGTTTAGTTTGTAGATCACAGAACTCTCTTACTATAACCTTTGGATACTTGAAAAAGGCATTTAAACTCCTAATGGCACAAAAATCAAGACAGGAATCGAACGGGAATCAGGATTTGGAAGGAGAGAAAGCCCTCCTCATGCATGGTTTTTGCTATGCTTCTAAGAGCTACCCTAAGAGAGGACAGTGGAGGTCCCTGCTTCATAGAAGCACCACGAGTGTGTCCCAAAGCAGATTAGACAGGACTTCTGGATTATTAATTTCCCATTGTTCAGGAATTGTTCACCACACAAATACTTCACTTTTATAAAGAAGTCATTTCAAGGTTTAGACTTTATTTACAATGATAATTTTCATATTTTTATTATTTAGAAAATAATTTATACTTTTCCATCATTTAAACAAAGAATAGGCCTGAGTCTCACGCCTTTTGCACAGCTTTTACCTTCAAGAAAGTTCTCTGGGAAAGAAAGGCAGAGGACACAGGGAAATTGCAAATATATACATCTACTAAACAGTCGGCAGGGGTATTCAGTTCTTCTCCTTAGCGTTACTGGGACGGCAATGGTTAATGTTTGTTCTGGAGTAAAACCCAAATGGGACAGAACAGGGGATCTTGATAGTAGGAAGCTGAAACTTTCTCCCACAGGAGACCATTTCCTCAACGCCTGATGAGGACAACTAGAGAAAATGCAGAACCACTGAGCTCATCTCCTACTGATAACAAAACCAGGTCTTACATAAATATGAACATTTTTTTTCTTATAGATAATTAAAACAGCAAAAGTGGTATTACTACTAAGGAAACAGTATTCAAAAGGCCAACTGATCACAATAAAGATACTCAATTAGTACGCTGAAAACGACATGGATAACATGCAGTGTGCGCTTCTGTTTTTATTCCACAGAGAGCAGCTGGTTCCAATTTCTCCTACCATTGATGTGCTAGGCTGTCTATAAAACTATCCTCTCCCTAAGTGGGTAGAAACCCCTCTACTGGGAGACCTGAGTTTATCGAATGGCACCTGTATAGGTTCATATAAATCTGTAGTAAATCACATGGGACACATTGGCACCACGGGAAGTTGACTCTGAAGTTGGAGGTGAAGACAGTAGATTGCTGTCACCACGAAGCTGAACAACATCATTTGGTGTAAACACTTTAGATGTTGCTTGGTAGCCTTTGAGATTTATCAGGGTGGGTCTTTAGATCGCGTGCTTGGCAGGTCTCCATGCTTTTCAGCTTGTTGCCTTTTGGTTTGAGTAGAATGACAACTTGTTTGCTAAGACAAATAATAATAATAATCTGCCTGGATGAATGAGTATAATTCTGGAACAAATAGGTTAAGATTGCTTTGGTCATTATCCTGTTGCTTCATGTACCTTAAAATAAGCAAAACTAGGCAGTTTTCTGACACGCACACACACACACACACACACACACACACCAATGTGTTCCACCAATGATGGAACCAGCCTGGCTCCTGCTCAGATTCTGTGGCTTTATTCAAACGGCATATATATCTGCGATGGACTTGCCAATCCACTCACTTCATCCCTAGCTTGTTTGACTATTTATATGTACTTCATAGACATATATCATCGGGAGATGGAGATGAGAACTGAGTAGATATGAAAGCTATGAATGTAAGTGTTTTGTCTATCATTTTTTATTGCAGGGGAAGGGTAGCCTCACCAAAGAGGGGTTCTTGCTTCTAGGTAGATTTATAGAGAAACACAAACACAACGAAGAAAGAAGAAATGATTCAGGACTTGCTAAATGCTGAAGACCTGGTATTAACTCAGGGTTAGTTAACTGAAACATATTCTACTTGTTTGGATGAAGCCTTAATCTTTTCAATCCTTTTTGCATTGTGCTATTAAATAGAAAATCTGTCTTGAAATATTTGACTTCATCTTTGTCTGTTTTGAAAAAAATATGCTGTGAGTTACCATTAAATCATGTTTTTGAAGGGAAGGGTATACTACCCATGTATGGGAGACAAAGGACAGGGGTTTCTAATGTAAAGCAATCAAGGATGTGAAAGGGCAGAAATCAATGCACAGGTCCTGGAGGCTAAGGCAAGTGGAAGTCTGTGGACCCAGAACTTAACTGGGAGCTACAAGCAACAAAGCCCAGCGAGACACATTGGAATTGAGTTAAGAAAGGCTTTCATCATGGAGGGAAAGGCTTCAAACTAAGTCAGTTATCAAAGGCTGTTGTCTTTGCAATGCCTTAATTCAACAGCAAAACAGCTGCATCAGATCATGACTCAAACTAGAGTAGGTTGATGCCAGATGGCCCTCAGACTCCACAATGAACCCTCACCCAGCTCCTGAGCTTGGAGATAGCTACAATGTATAAGATGGTGATTAAAATATAACTATAAAATGTTTCCCTTCCCCCCTTTTTTTCTTAAAAAAGTTTACTATCTACAGAAACAAAAAAACATTATATTTACATCACGATAACTAGTCATGACATACGTAATAATATCCAATAAAATATTGAAAGTGAGTATCAACTTTTTAAATAGAGGTTTGGCTCACAGCATAAACAAGTGTAGAAAACAAAACAAAACAACTCAAACAGCTTTCAATGGCCTAGCCACAAACAATAATCAACCTCCTTATAACCTTCCCTTCAAAAAGGAGCATGACCACAGACCAGGCTGCAAAGCCATGCTATGCCAATCACACAGTGTATGGAAGACCACAAGAGGCAATGTCAGAGCAAACAATCTTCAACAGTTGCCAAAGGTCAGCTTCCCCCAGGCTAACTTTCAAACCATAAGCTGGCATTTCACCTTCGTCTCTTGGTATAAAACCCATGGTGAGTTTTTTTTTTTTACTTTCTTTTATACTACAACATACCTTGCAGCAAATTGAGAAGACACAGGGTATTATCACTAAAGGCAATTTCCTGGGCCTTTCCCAGCACCCTTTTAGAACTCTTACCTGATGAGGAGCTGATGTCAGCTCCTCTTGGGTGTTCACCACTAAAGAACGCCATCCCTTTCCATGGCTATTTGATCATTGGTAAGTGACATGTGTACTCACATACACCCCTTATACATTCATTAGGCGGGTAGACCAGAAAGCCTCAGTCTTGTGAGTGTGAGGCTGGTGGTGGAGCGCCTCCAAGTGGCAAGTAGCAGTGGTGCCAATCATGTGGCCCACACAAGCCCACCCTCTGAGAAAGAATTTGTGGAAGCGAAATGGAGGAGGGCTGCCATTCAAAGACACTCCAGAAAGAAATTCCTTCTGTATGTTCACATGTACTTTGTCACCTGCTACAGATATTCTATGAACAACTAAAATCACAAACATCTCCCTTTACACACATGTATACAAACATATCTCTCTTCAGTCTCATGCATACAGACATGCGCGCGTACGTACACACACACACACACACACAGAGACAGTTGGCAGGATGCATTGGAATTCCAACAGTGCTGGGTAACGTTCTCCCCTCAGTAGGGAGAACAAAAGCTTGTCACTCTCGAGCCTACATTTGTTTCCTTGCTAAGCTGCACTTCTCGTGACTTCTTGCTCTTTGTGATTTCTTATGTCACAGTGACCTCTATATATCCTAAGATGACTGTTACTACCTTGTGGAGTCAGGCATCCAGGCTATCAGTGTGCATGTGTTACACGTGACTATAAGTCTTACATGAGCCTATGTGGGAATTTATACACACACACACATATATGTCTTCCTTATAAACGACCCATAGACGCTGGTGTTGCAAAGTGAAAGAAAGCTTCTTTGAGCTGGAGTCTTCAGCGCTGTCCCTTACTATAAAAGTAAACACACAAAACATGAAGAATTCCCCAAATGCTTTAGCCATTTGCCCATCTTCTGGTGTTCTACAGTGTTGTGTCTAAGTGTTGTGCTGGCTTGGAAAGTGTCTGGGACAAGTCATTCTGTCTGCAAACACAGCTCGCTCTACCCGCGGTGGTCACAGGTCTGGCTGTGGAGCCGGGGTCTCATCTGCTCTTGGCTTCCCCTTCTCTTCATCTTCCTCTTTGATAGCCTGGATCTGTTCTGAGGAATGCGGCACAGCAGCCTGGTCCAGAGACTGGTTCTCTATACCTGCTAAGCACTGTTCCTCTTCAATCACTTTCTTCCACATCGTGTGGTTCTGCAGGAGGTGCTGTGTTATTTGGCAGTAGATTTTCTTCCTTTTGAAAGTTTTCTTTCCTGTAAAACACAGACCATCAAATTGAACTATTGTGAGCTACACCTGTGAAGGCTATTGCTTTTTGCATTATAATCAGGAGTTAAGTATCAAAGAGACAATTATCTGTCTTTCTATTTACCTGTCCACCTACCTAGCTTGTTTCACACGTGCTAACAATGCAGCTTTTCTAGAATGGGAAAGAGAAGGCACATGACAAGAAACTATTATTGAGTAAATGTGAACAATATTTCATATTTAGTAATGTTCACATCAGGTTCAGCTTACATTATTTTGTTATAAATATTTGGGGGGTATGTGTGTACATGGATGTGCAGATGGAAGTTGGAAGTTAACATCACAAGCTTTTCAGAGTATAGAGCGATAACCACTGTCTTGGAACCCCAAAACACAAGCCTTTCTCCATCACTCTCCAACTTATTCTTTAAGATAGCATCTCTCACTGAACCTGGAGGCTGCCAGTGGTCATGGGATGTTCCAGCCATGCTAGATCTCTTGAGATCCATATATAGACATCTTTGTGGAAGAAATAGTAAGTCTTTAGATGGCTTTATTATAAAGGATGCAGGAATTTCTTGCACCATAGAACACTAAGATATAATTGTAAAATGTGCCAAAAAAAAAGACTTGGGTTAAATTATTTTGAATTATTTTTGAACTGCATAGAAACGTACAAATATTAAATTAAATAAATGCCAGGGGATAGTAACATAGGCACGGAGTTATAAAAGTAATTTAAACTTAAGTTCTTACTGTAGTCATCATTTGTTGATGAGATAAATTCATCAATCAAACTGATATTGACCAATAGGAAACCACTCTTTTGTTTTCAGGGTAGTTAAACCAAGATTGATTAGGCTCAACATTTGCTTTCAAAGCACTTATACTCTGCAAGTATACTTAGGAAAGAAAAACTGAGTAAATGTGTTTGGGACAGAGATACACTTGTGACAGAGACAGCTTTATAATTTGTGATAATTAGCGTTAATTATTAGCTTCACAGAAATTTAAATCACCTGGGAGATGGGATTTTGGGCATATCTGTGGGGGCGGGTAATAGTTGGAAGCCCCACCCACTATGAGTGGCACCATTCCCTGTGTAGGAACCTTGGAATGCATATGAGAGGCGAAAGTGAACACTAACACACACTCACTGATTCATTACTCTCTGATTCTTGACTATGAATGCTACATGACCAGCACTCTACAGACCCTGGCAATGGGACCTTACCACAAGGAAGAACTATAACCGGAATTGTGAGATAAAATACACTGATTCTCCCTGAGTTGTTTGTTTGTTTGTTAGAGTATTTTACGACAGCAATGAGAAAGTAACCAGGGCACTGTTGGTCTTAGCTTGACTGCATTTTACACAGGGGACTCACCCCTACTCACACCTGAAGATCCTGGTCTCCTTCCTCTTAGGACTTTCAGTTTAGAAACCTCCTGATTAGAAATTAATTCTCTAGTACTTTGCAACATCTTCCAAAATGGGACCATCCTTTCACAAGGTGATCACAGAGAAAGAAGGTACTAACATATCGGTGTGACTGGAAATACATTGTGCACATCAATCTCTAGTTCGGTAGCCCTAAAATGTTAGAATCTAATGTTAAATGACCTTACCATGGCAGTCTTTAAACCAAAAGGAAGAAGAAGGGGGGGGGGTGTGAAGAGATGAGTAAGAGATCGGAGGGGAAGGGAGAAGGAAAGGATAACGGATGAGAGGTAGGGAAAGTAAAGGATAGACAAGCAAGAACAAAAGAGGGTAAGGGGAAAAGGAGGGAGCTGCCCATTCTAGGTTAACTGGCCAGGAGCTTCCAAATGATTTTCTGTTCTCAATGGGAATTACAAATTCTAGGCCTTACCACCACCACCACCACATCTGGATTTTTTTTTTTTTTTTTCCTGCATGGGTCCCTGCAGAGAGCTTTCATGTGCTAGGCCACCACAGCCCTAAACTGGCTTTTTAAATTGGCTTTTTAAAGATTGGTGGCTGAACTTGCCTTCTTATGGCTGCCAAAGCACGGGCAGGCTCTGACCCCCAGTAACAGGACACCTACACCCCCTTCCCTCAACAGCCATCATTAGTTACATGGTCAGTGTAAATGCTTCCCTGAATCTGAGAGAGAACCCATTGAGTGCCCATTCTCTGGTATTCTTGGAGGTGGCGGTACACCTAGTCACAGGCTTTAAGGCTGTGATTGACTCTCTTCAATTTCATTTCTGTTGGGTAAGCCTTCATTTCTGAGCTTTTTCATTTTCTTTCTTTGTTTCTTTCTCCTTTCCTTTCCTTTCCCTTCCCCTTCCTTCCTTCCTTCCTTCCTTCATTCCTTCTTTCTTCCTTCCTTCCTTCCTTCCTTCCTTCCTTCCTTCCTTCCTTCCTTCCTTTCTTTCTTTCTTTCTTTCTTTCTTTCTTTCTGATTTTTGGCTTCACTCTAAAGTCCCAGTCCCGATACCAAGCACTATGTCTCCCTCTGTCTTTTAGCCCTGACACTGTCTAGTGTTGACAATCCACAGAGCAGCATGTGTCTTCCTCATTCAGTCCCCCTGAGTCCTTGGGCTGCCTTGGACTTCAGGCCTTGGACCTTCCCCTCTACCTCATACCTCCTGGCTTCCCTTTGGGATGCATCTTGGAGAAACTCCAAGACTGCTGGATTTACCTGCCTTTTGCAGTTGAATCTGACCGCAAAACCCCTTAGACAATCAACCAAAATGGCTTGCCCAGAGGCAAAACTAGATCCAGGCATTATTAGGGAACTCTACAGCTAAAGCCAGCAATCAAGGAAATAAAAATTCCCCGTTTCTTATTTCCCCTTTCTCCTCTTCCAAGCCCTGTTTGTTTTTGCTGGGTCTTCCAGACTCTGTAAATGTCTGGTCTTTTAAGTTAAGGCTGATTGATAGGTCCGTAACTTTGCTGCGAAGTGGGAGGTGCAAATGCGTAGCAGGAGGGGGGCATGCAAAGTAGCAGGCCAGCAGCACAGCTGCACTCCCAGCATTCTTAACGCAGGTGCTGATCTAACTCTCCTAAGGATGCACGCGGGTCATGCCTTTGTGACTTTGACTAAGTTCTACAGACTAATGGGATTCTTCAGCTGCTGCTTCCCTGGGACCTGCGGTGCCTCCACAGGCGCCTGCGCTTCTCTGGCTCCTGCAGCCTGACAGGCCTCTTACTGCTGCACTCACCTGGACAGCCCGATTTCTCCTGCGGTCCTAACTCCCTCTTGCCTTCCCACCTGCAGCAGATCTGGGTTCTTTCCTGTTCTTTCTTCTTCCCACGTAGAGCTAGCTACCCATTCTGTCTCTTTGTGCCTTTCTGGGCTTGTAGTTTGTGGATTTCCTCGCCTCCTCCTAGGAGCTGCGCCCTGTGCTTTTTAGTTCCTAGTTGTTCCTCCTTGTCCCTTAACCCTCCTCTCTGGGTCCTACGTCACAGTGTCTCTCTGGCTTGTGGAGCCAGCTTCTATCGTTTGGAGCTCTCGCCATGTGGACAACTTTCTCAGCTCTAGCCTTCTGCATCCCCGTGGGTGTCTCTACTAAGACACTTCCTGGCTCCCTCTTCCCCTGCACTTCCGGGCTGTCTCTGGCTCCCGTATGCCATCCTACAGCTTTAGCTCTTAGCTCCCTCTTGGAGCTTGTAGGAATACAACTGCACAACGCTCTGCTTTGCAAATATCTCTTCCTCCAGGGACTCATATTCTATTACAACAGCCTAGTCTCAGATAAGATCAATGGCCAAGAAATTGGCTAAGTTGGTTTCCAAATTCTCACAAGTCCTAACAACCCCTGTGGCACAGAAAACTGGCCCATGGACATCTCACAACTTTAGCTTGCTCCATCTGCTCCACGTTTTGCCTGCTTTCCATTCTTACAAGCCTTTTGTCGCTCTGCTCTGCTCTCAAAATGATCTCTTAAGATTATGCTGTAAACTCGGCCTCATGGTTTGAAAACTCATTGGGCATCATTTAAAGTCTACAAAATCTGCGACAAAATTTGGCTTTAAACTTATAACAATGCCAGGACCCATAGAAATAGCTCCAGTCCATATTGACTTAAGATCATAGAGTTCAAGCCTATCTTCGCTCTTTCAAGTTTAAAGGCTTAAGACCTAAAGGTCTAAGGTGTGGCTGCTGAAGGATGTTTGGCCTAAGGTGTGGCCACTGGCTGTCTTGTTTAGATAACAGAGTACTTGATCTAAGTGTGGTTACTGAATGTCTTAATCTTCAAGGTCAGATAACAAGATATTTAATCTAAGATGTGGTGGCTGAATATCTTGAGAATTAGGGAAGTAATTACATCTGTTTGTTCCTTAGGTCATTGGTAAGGAAGTCCTTTTGCCTTTTCCCCATTTTTAGTTGCCATACATAAGACCTTGGAGCAATAAACGTAGGTGGATACCAGTATTCATTGGTTGCCCTCCTCACTCTATCTTCTGTCAGTTGTCTGTTTCTTTCTTCAATAAAATTCCCCTTCTCAGGTATGAACTGAACTAGCCAGCTGTACTGACAGATGACACCCAACATGGGCCTGACATAACAAAAGGTTTATAAATAAAAATGTATAGGTAGAAATATGTTTGTGTGCAAGTGTATGTGTGTAACTTGTGTTCAACTCTCATTTTAAAAAAATGGAGACCTTCTAGGAAATCAGATGTTTTAAATATCAATCATGTGGCTCTCTTCCTTCTTGGCTGATGATCTCATCAGGATAAAAGCAACCACATGGCTGGCAATCATCTTTACTAAGGTTAATCAGTGCATATCATCTGACTTCACCATCTTGAGATTACCATGTATCATAAAGCAAAACTATAAAACTTCTTAGCCCTAATAAGTTCTCTATTTATCATTGTACCTTTTAGACTAATGAAGCAACAATTCCCAAATATTTTGGATTGATATGGATTTTTTATGAAGATAATATTTGCTACAAAGTGCTGTATATGTGATTCAAGTCTGGTTTAGAACATACTGCATATGATGATAAAATTTGAAGGTTATAGTGG